ATGATCAACCTATGCTAGTTGTGACAGATAACTTAATGGATCGGGTGATCAGGCTCCCTGACTTGGTTGATCCATGTCATTGTATCCCAATTGTGTGGATCGATGCTCATGATGTCAATCACTGGATAGACTGGTCCAGACTTGATTATTTACAGACCGCCGTCATATAGCTGGAATATGGCTGAGTGCAGAGTTAAACAACAAACACCAACATGATTCTACAACATGCTCTTGTGGATACCATTTTGAAGATCCTACACATAACTTCTTTTCGGGTCTTAACTATTGCAATATGTTCTACATGTGTTTTAAACATATATTTTTTTTATAGTGAACTGGATTTGCAAACAAGCCGATGGCTTATCTAAATGATGCTGAAATACAAAATAAGTATTAATAAAATACTAATTCTATACTATTGCAAACTATCAGTTGAGCAATAATGTAATCATCTGATTATAAGTAGATAATGAAGGAGAAGTCCATATTGATTAAATGTACCAGATTCTGAGATAAATGCACGTATTGATTGATTTATTTCAATGTTTTCCTGTACATAATTTTCAACAATTCCATATAAAGCTTTCTTATATCATATCCATGCTGTATCATAATACCTATTATTTCTAATAATAGCATAATTTGGACACACAAATAAGTAATGAATGGTATTTTTATAACAGGTCCCACACATGCGGGATAGGTCATTTGACATGAATCAGTTTTATGTGAATTTAAATCACTACAAGCTGATCTGAGTCATGAAAGGATATGCCTTCGATTCTGTGAAAATGGAAATGCTAAAACATCTCCCAATATTAACCATGCTATTACAGAATCTGTTCACTTGTTTTTGTATGTAAAATATTTTTGAAAGATTACATCCATCTAATGATTGTTTGTATGTGATATGCCAGTAGAGGTATATGTGTACAAGCATGTGCATACAGATAAAAAAAATTATGTTTGTTTGGCTAGGTACCAGTATATGAATAGGTTGTTTAGTGCGACTTGTATATAAGCATCATCATAGTTTCAACAGACAGTTTATGTATATCAAATGTTAAATGTCTTTGTAGGGAGAATTGCATATCAAAACTGTCATTATTTTATTACTTATGAGTAGAACTTTTTAAGTATCTGGCATGATACATTTCCTTGGTCCACAGACACATGTTACCAGTAAACTGGCTTGATAAGTAGCATAACAGTCAGTGTGGTTGGAAACTAATTAAGCCGTCACTACTCAATTAAGTAATTAACAGACAATTGCAAGTGATAATACCCACCTGACACTAATTGCCCTGTTAATCCCTAATCCACCATGAGTTGACATTGAGCTCATCTTGCTAATGAGCTGTTGTGAGCGTAACGTGATGATAAACATCTAAGGTGGGGCAGGCTTTGATCAAGTGTTCTGTAGAAGAGATTATGTCACTTGTTTAATGTTTATTTAGGATTAGCTACATCCCTTGATGCGACCAAGACCATACTTGAGGTTATCAGACAGTTTGTCTGGATACAGCCTGATGTCTCAACTGTACTTATTGGATTCTGCCTTGTAGCAAACTATGTGTGTGACAAGGACTTTGACCACTCTGTGCAGATGCATAACAATGCATAATGAACTTGGGGTATGATTCAATTATGTCACACAAGTCAAAGATAGGTTCCAATGTATTTAGAAACAGACGATAGATGCAATACTGTGTAACTTTATAACAATCAAATGATTTACAATTACCCTTGAAAAGTTCCAAAACCAAATAGAACTACTTAAATTATGATTACACTTGACCAATATATTTGGCAGTTTTTGCCGTTATTGTTAATCTGAATTAAAGATAGGATAAATGATAAAAATATGATAATGCATATCACACACAAGTGTGTATTATACGCAAATAAATAAGTCTTGTATACATTGATTAATTGGAAAGGGTCCTAATTGGGATTGTTCACTAGCCAATATATTAGCAAATATTCCCATGGGCGCTTATTAGAGCGAGGCGCTTATTACGTCAAATACTTTAGTTCTGTTTTTATGTATAAGAACCTATTTTATGCAATTTGCATTGCCTTGTTTACCTTTCCTTATGTTTTGATGTAATGCAAACATTTGAGAAAAATTCAGGTGAGCCTGCCTTATGGCACTACAGGAATTGTTTTCAGAAGATCAATTACAATTTTGTATTTTCTGTACAATTTACTGTTTGCTATGGCTTTTTTACATTGGTTAACATGGTTTGGTTAACAGTTGCTTGATAAATTGTCATTACCTTACTCATTGAGAAACCAAATTTTTACCCTTTGTCAATATATGTGTGTTTCTTATATTTTTAATAACAAGCTTTTATAGATGTTATAAATTGTTTCAGGCACCTGGATTTCACAATGACACCAGATCAGACAAGTCATAGAAAGGACTCTCCGGATGATGAATAATCCTCCCCAGAACAACTAACAGGTTCACCTCAGAAAGTGATGATTCTGAATGAATAATGCCACATCAGTGTGATTCTGTAGGTTGTTTTATTACGACATTAATCAAGTCTAAAGGAATCAATACCACAGCAGTGAGACTGTTTATGTGGTGTACACTGACGCTGACTATACAAATCTGAATGACTTTTGTGGTTTACTGCACAAACATAATTGACTTTAGATATTCTTCTACCTTGAAATTCTTCTGAGATTTGACTAATTTGTTTATTTAGAAAATGGCATTGAAGCATCTGTTTCTGTTTTTGAATGTTCTTGCAAACACCTCTGGTTACTGAACCAATGAAATGTCATAAAATCAATAAATATGATTTTTTATCTTAACAATTTTTTTGTTTTGCTTCTTTAAAGAAATATGATATTGATCATTCATAACATAGGTGCTAACATATATCAAATATACTAATGCCCTGAATGTTTTCCTACAATTAATACAGCTCACTGAACGAAGTTTTTAGTTCCATGTCAGTAGAAAAGTTACATTGATATTTTTATGTACCAGTACTTTATTAGGTGTTTTCTGTGGATGCCATTAGTCTTATGCACCCATTTGGGTTAATGATATTCTGTTTCGAACTTCAATGAAACTCGTCTGTCAAGATGTAACAAGTATTGATACAGTTCCAAAATAATCTTTTAATCTCACCAGGAACAAAGGCCCAAGTGAGCACATAGCCAATGACTTTCATTTTTTTGTCAGAGTGAGTATGGTGTCATGCCACTTTATGAGCAAAATTCAAACAATATTATGATGGGTGACACCAAGCAATGTACCGATGTGGTGAATCGAATGCTTCAACCACTAGGCTAAAACAAACTGGGAATATGAAGATGATATGTAAGGATACCATCATACCAGGACTGAATGCTTTTCATTTAATACGCTGAACATCTAAATTGAAATATATATGAACTTGAAAAATGTTTTCACCAAAAGTACATGCCCATAGATCTCAACTTCAAGGGGCTATTTACAACTAAAATAACACAGAATATTACTACAGCTATCTGCTATGCCCAGGCTAACATTATTTGTTAGGAGAAAGACATCTCGAAAAATTGCATCCGGATACCTGCCGGATACCTGCCGGATACCTTCAGCAATGTTCAATTTTCATGGTTAGTTTCCAATATATTTTTAGGTGTTTCACACTTAATTGAACAAAATGCACCCCCAAATTGTGACATGTTTTTGGAAACTCGGAATGAGGTATCCGGTGCCGGATCCCTGGACACCCAGATTGAGGTATCCGGTGAGGTATCCGGTGCCGGATACCCGGATTCCAGGTGACATACTTTCCGGTGAGGTGTCCATGCCGGATACCACAGATCTGGTATCCGGCAAGGTATCTGCCACCGGATACCCGGACGCGTTTTGGGTAAGTGTCCGGTGGTATCCGGCAGGTATCCGGATACCGGAAACTGCATTTTTTTTGCTGTGGATGGAGTTCTGGCTACAAAGTAGATCACAGTGGTAAACAAGATATTTACCATCCCCAAACACACAAACATGATAACCTATTTATCATTTAATGTCACTCTTCAGTTTTATGCTCGAAAACTCTTTCCATCTCTCACAAACATTACCTAAACATTGCGAGTTTTCCTGGAAGGTGGGCATGAATATATACAACGACGGAGGGTAAGTGTTGTGTCAGTCCGACAGTGACGTAGCTAATATAATCCCACTAAAACCTCAAGGGAAGCCACTATAACTCTAGTCTATGAAACGTCACGGCCACAGTCAGAGGGTGTTGACAGTCTGTTCTATCACAACGTTACGAAGTGTAGTCAGATGTACCCACAGCGACAAAACAAGTTTACAATTGAACATATTTCGGCAAAATCCACTGTTTTAATATGTGGAAAAGGTTCCAAACCGCAGAGGTCTACAAGCCCAGATGAAAACTGACCCCACTTGGCTGGTGCACTCAGAAAATAGTTTCGCAATTTATATCTCCAAAGTTGCCACAACATGTGAAATGCCTTAGCTACGTCACAGTCAGACACTGATTTTCAGTATGTTAGAATATTCTTTTGATGATGACAATTATCCCTGTAGTTTCTCCAGATTCCTGATGGCTAATTCTGATTCGGTCGTCGAGTTTCAAGGGTGACGCCATGTTTGTTTGCGAACACTGAAAGTAGTCCCTATTTGACCTTTGATATTTGCATCTCTATCTGTATATGACCCCAATGGATATCGTTATTTTCCGTTGGCTATATCCTGCTGACAAACCTGCCCCATTATATGATAGAGAACTGTATAATGTGTAAGAAAGGATAAGAATTTATGGATGAACCACTTCTTTATTACAATTGAGAGCAACGTTTCGGTGTAGGTTCAAACACCGTTATCAAGCCAGCGATATCCACGCTCTGGATATCACTTGCTTGATAACGGTGTTAGAACCTACAGCGAAAGAAGTTGTTCATCCATAAAATCTTATCCGTACTCCTACTTCTAAATACCTATCAAAGAAGATGTATCTGTGTACCTGTTGTCTGTATCTGTGTACGCATTGTTATGTTACAGAAATATCCAATGTATCCATCTATACACCCGATGGTACACCCCCCGTTGCCTTGGTTGCAGATGGCGCTGATGCAGTTGGGGCTACAAAGTTGATCACAGTGGTCACCATGCCGACCACGAACACACCCTTGCAAACACTTCCCAGTATCTTTGTCACAGGGTCGAAGGTTTCTGCCAGGATGAACTCCACAGTGATCTGAACATAGTCGGTCACAGTTGTGTCCATACTTGCCCCACTCGCACACCGGGATACCCTGTACTGCAGGAACTGAAAGCAGAAGTTAAAAAAAGATAAGTTCCTTTCAAATTAATGTGGACAATAGTTGTTGCATTAAATTTGAAAGAGAAAAGAGTTACTCCCTTGTGTGAATTTTTGTGTTTTCAACTCATAAATATAATTATATTGAAAGGTAATCCACATTCTCGTGCAGAAAGTCCTGCAAAAGTCTCCTCAATGAAAACCGTTTCATGAAATGTTGTCTATTAACCATTACTTGAAAGTTAATCTTAACTGAAGACAGAACAATAATCCCCTCAACAGAGAAAAAGGATAATATGTTCATAGTTGTTCATATAAATTTTCTTCGTATGACAAGAAACACGAAAAGTGGAAACAATTGGGTGTGTTTAGACATGCATGCACTTGAACCATTATTCTACACCACAGATGTATTGTTGATGTTAACATGTTGTACTCCTGAATGCAGGGTTTTGTGCAGTAAAACAATGTTGGTTATGGTAGAATTTTGTGACATCTTCGATTAAGTAATGAAAGAAACATGATTTTCGATTGTATACATGTCATTAATAGATTGTTTGTTTTTGAGAGTCAATTGTGTTGTTTTACCAAATTAATCTGAGATATGAAGTTGCGAGATAAAATAGGTATCATGAAAACACTGATATCAGAATTTGTGTATAGAGCTGTGTCTGTGTACCGTTGTCTGTGTCTGTGTACCTGTTGTTATGTTACAGAAATATCCAATGTATCCATCTATACATCCGATGGTGCACCCCCCGTTGCCTTGATTGCAGATGGTGCTGATGCAGTTCTGACAACAACGTTGATCACACTGGGCACCATGTCGACCACGAACACACCCTTGCAAACACTTCCCAGTATCTTTGTGGCAGGGTCGAAGGTTTCTGCCAGGATGAAGTCCACAGTATTCTGAACAAAGTCGGTCACAGTTGTGTCCATACTTGCCCCACTCGCACACCGTGACACCCTGTACTGCAGAAACTGAAAACAGCAGTTAAATGAGCAGTTATGTAGTAAGGGTCGAAGACCTGCTTCACGTCGGTCAAAACAGTGTTAAGCCAAGGTCACTCATATTCTGGATCATATGACCATTTACTGTTGGCAACCGAATTCCACTGTTCGGGAAATATATCAAACACGGGTCTATTGAAAATAACAAAGGTCACAAAACAAACTCACGGTTGAGCCAGCCTGAATTGTACTGTCTCGTCACGTGGTACGGATTTACCAATGGAAATACTAGATTCTGTAGTCCGGTAACATAATTACATAATAATAATAATCATAACAAGTTGAAAAATGCACTTACATACAATGATCAGCAACGATCCAAACATCTCAGCGTGTAGGGAATCCATTCTGTATCACAAACAACATAATACGTGACACTAGCGTGCTGTGAAGCTGAAGCAGCTATAGGTCAACATTCAAACTTACAGAGAAGTTATATAACAACCACATCATGAAACCAGAATCAGCACATTCCCATGATTTCTCCAGAGGCTCTAGATAGTCTGTAAATACATGGTGTAAGTACGTTGTGTAAGTAAGGCCTGTAACTACGTCGTGTAAGTACAGGGTGTATGTACAGTGGGTAAGTACGTCCTGTTAGTACGTTGTGTAAGTACGTTGTGTAAGTATGTCGTGAAAGTATGTCGTGTAAGTACGTCGTGTAAGTACATGATGTATGTACAGTGTGTAAGAACGTCGTGTAAGTACGTCGTGTAAGTACAGTTTGTAAGTACGCCGTGTAAGTGCATGGCGTATGTACATGGTGTATGTACATGGTGTATTTGTTCAGTGCGTAAGTACGTCTTGTAAGTACGTCGTGTACGTACATGGTGTAAGAAACAGTGTGTATGTATGTCGTGTAAGTACGTTGTGTAAGTACGTCGTGTAAGTATGTTGTGTAAGTATGTAGAGTATGATGTGTAAGTACGTGGTGTGTGTACGTGGTGTAAGTACGTAGTGTAAGTATGGTGTGTAAGTACGTGATGTGTGTAAGTAGTGTAAGTATTTGATGTATGTACGTGGTGTGAGTACGTGGTGTATGTGCAGGGGGGGAGTAAGGGGAGTGTGTACATGGTGTAAAAACGTGGTGTAAGTACGTACTGTGAGTACGTTGTGTAAGTAGGTGGTGTAAGTACGTGGTGTATGCACGTGGTGTGAGTACGTGGTGTATGTACATGGTGTGAGTATGTGGTGTATTTACATGGTTTGTGTGCGTGGTTTGTGTACGCGGTGTATGTATGTGGTGTAAGAACACGGTGTAAGTACGTAGAGTAAGTATATGGTGTAAGCACATGGTGTTAGTACGTGGCGTAAGTACGTGGTTCTAAAAACGTGGTGTACGTATGTGGTGTATGTACGTGGTATGAGTACGTAGTGTAAGTAGGTGGTCCGAGTAGGTGGTGTAAGTACGTGGGGTATGTACGTGGTGTAAGTACTTGGTGTGTGTACATGGTGTGAGTATATGGTGTTTATACATGGTGTAAGTAGGTGGTGTAAGTACGTGGTGTGAGTACGCGGTGTATGTACATGGTGTATGTACGTGGTGTGTGTACGTGGTTTAAGAATGTGGTGTAACAACGTGGTGTAAGAATATGGTGTAAGTACGCGATATATGTACGTGGTGTGAGTACATGGTGTTTGTACATGGTGTGTGTACGTGGTGTGAGTACGTGGTGTATGTACGTGGTGTGAGTATATGGTGCAAGTGCGTGGTGTAAGTAGGTGGTGTAATTACGTGGTGTATGTATGTGGTGAGAGTACGTGGGGTAAGTACATGTTGTATGTATGTACGTGTTGTGTGTACGTGGTATATGAATGTTGTGTAAGTACGTGGTATGTGTACGTGGTTTGAGTATGTGGTTTAACAACGTTGTGTACGTACGTAGTGCAAGTACGTAGTGTAAGTACGTGGTGTACGTATGCGGTGTGAGTACGTGGTGTGAGTACGTGGTGTATGTAGGTGGTGTAAATACATGGCACAAGTATCTGGTGTATGTACATTGTGTTTGGTAGATGGTTGGTTTGTTGTTTAACGCCACACTCAGCAATATTCCAGCTTTATGACGGCGGTCTGTAAATAATCGAGCCTTGACCAGACAATCAAGTGATTGATATCATGAGCATCTATCCACGCAATTGGTATCTATGACCTGCATCAACCATGTCAGCGAGCCTGACCACCCGATCCTGTTGGTAGCCTCTTACGACAGGCATAGTCGCCTTTTACGGCAAGCATGAGTTGCTGAAGATCTATTCTACCCCGGATCTTCATGGGTCGTACATTGTGTTAGTACATGCTGTATTTACATGATGTTAGTACATGGTGTAAGTATATAGTGTAACTATCTCGCGTAAGTACATAGTGTAAGCACGCAGTGTATGCTGATTGGGTAAGTACATACAGTAAGTAGATGGTGTAAGTCAATAGTGTGAGTGAATAACACAAAGTGTGAGTACACAGTGTAAGTACATTGTGTAAGTGCATGATGTAAGTACATTGTGTGAGTTCATAGTTTAAGTGCATGATGTAAGTATGTTGTTTATGTAATTGGTGTGTGTACATGATGTGAGTACATATTTTGAATTCATAGTTTCAGTACATGGTGTAAGTATGTTGTTTATGTACTTAGTGTAAGTGCATGGTGTAAGGACATGGTGTATGTACATGGTGTAAGGACATGGTGTAAGGACATGGTGTAAGGACATGGTGTAAGGACATGGTGTAAGGACATGGTGTAAGGACATGGTGTAAGTACACAGTGTTAGTAAACGTTGTAAGTACATGTTGTAATGACATGGTGTAAGTACATGGTGTAAGGACATGGTGTAAGTACATGGTGTAAGGACATGGTGTAAGTACATGTTGTATGTACATGTTGTAAGGACATGGTGTAAGGACATGGTGTAAGTACATGGTGTAAGTACATGTTGTAAGTACATGGTGTAAGGACATGGTGTAAGTACATGGTGTAAGGACATGGTGTAAGGACATGGTGTAAGTACATGGTGTAAGGACATGGTGTAAGGACATGGTGTAAGTACATGGTGTAAGTACACAGTGTTAGTAAACGTTGTAAGTACATGTTGTAATGACATGGTGTAAGTACATGGTGTAAGGACATGGTGTAAGTACATGGTGTAAGGACATGGTGTAAGGACATGGTGTAAGGACATGGTGTAAGGACATGGTGTAAGGACATGGTGTAAGTACATGGTGTAAGTACACAGTGTTAGTAAACGTTGTAAGTACATGTTGTAAGGACATGGTGTAAGTACATGGTGTAAGGACATGGTGTAAGGACATGGTGTAAGGACATGGTGTAAGGACATGGTGTAAGTACATGGTGTAAGTACACAGTGTTAGTAAACGTTGTAAGTACATGTTGTAAGTACATGTTGTAAGTACATGGTGTAAGTACATGGTGTAAGGACATGGTGTAAGTACATGGTGTATGTACATGGTGTAAGTACATGGTGTATGTACATGTTGTAAGTACATGGTGTAAGGACATGGTGTATGTACATGGTGTAAGGACATGGTGTAAGTACATGGTGTATGTACATGGTGTAAGTACATGGTGTATGTACATGGTGTAAGTACATGGTGTATGTACATGGTGTATGTACATGGTGTAAGGACATGGTGTAAGTACATGGTGTATGTACATGGTGTAAGTACATGGTGTATGTACATGGTGTAAGTACATGGTGTTAGTACATGGTGTAAGTACATGGTGTAAGGACATGGTGTAAGTACATGGTGTAAGGACATGGTGTAAGTACACAGTGTTAGTAACCGTTGTAAGTACATGTTGTAAGTAAGCGGTGTGAGTATATTGTGTGAATGCATTGTGTAAGTACATTTTAAGTGCATAGTTCAAGTACAATGTGTAAGTGAGTGAGTGAGTGAGTTTATATTTAAATTTACATAGGCAATATTTCAGCCATATCGTGACGAGACAAAATTTGACTTTAATAATATATATGTAGCCTGTATAAAATCCTGTTGACGAAGGGCAGTAAAATAACTGGATTATCACAGATATATGTTTAAAACTGGTATATGACCATAAAATATGACTATTGATCGGGCTATATCTCACAGCAACTGAAATGAGGTCACCGTACTGGGGACCATTGGGACTTACACTACCTTTGAAAAAATGAATTGTAGGATTTTGTGGGCTTACATAGCCTCTCAGGGGGATAATAATTTTACGCTACTTCAAGCCCCTTTGAGGTTATAGCCACTATCAATCTCAGTTGATATTCATATACTACCAATTTATGAAATACATAACTTTCTACGTCAAAATGAATTAATTAATTATATTTCCCTTAAAAAAAACGATGATTAAATGATTATGTATTTCATTAAAAACATCCTTTGTAGATGACGCTTTGAAATATTTATCCCTTGTGATGGAAAGATTACCATGTGTAAGCACACGATTTACGTACATAGTGTAAGTATGTGGTGTAAGTACATAGTGTGAGTACACAGTGTAAGTATATAATGTATGTACGTGGTGTACGTTCGTGTTGTAAGTGCATGGTGTAGGTACAGTGGAAGTACATGGTTTACGTATATAGTGCAAGTATGTGATGTAAGTACAAAGTGTAAGTACACAGTGTAAGTACATGATGTAAGTACTATGTAAGTTGTCGGTGTAAGTACGTGGTTTAACATGGTGTAAGTACGTAGTGTATATATATGTTTCTAAGTGAGTGGAACAGAAAGTGGAACTGTCTGTTTTTCAGATGTGTTTCTTCAGCTTCACGCAAATATTGAATATGGTAAAAATGTTCTTCCAAACTTATTTCAGTTTTTTTTTTTTTTTTTGTAATCCAAACGTTATTTCGATTGTTCAACTTTTTGTTGTTACAATTTATAACCCCAAAATAATTAAATGAGCTTTGCATTACATTTTGCACCACATACACTACACGTAATATTTCATAAACCTGTTTAACTGCACAGTTAGAGGTCGACCACGTGCACGTGTCACATGACGCCATTGTCACTCAACTAGTCAGGGGTTTGGAAAACGTTCATAGCAGAAGCGGGTAAAAACTAGAAGGCAGCAATACCTATCACAGGAAAGTGTAAATTACTAAAATGCCGCTCCCTTTAGATACATACTGCCTGACTTCATTTATGGACACTCTTGAAACGAAACTAACCATATTCGACCTGATCAAACAATGTCATGTGAAGTGCACTTGTAACAGCTGATAATATATGGGGTCAACATGACCTTAGTGAAAGTTCATGTCATGGGTGGTATAGTCTGTGTCCGCTAGTGTTTGTTTTGTTTGTTTGTTGTTACACGCAGCACTCAGGAATATGCCAGCTATACGACGGTGGTCTGTAAACAATCGAGTCTGGACCAGACAATCCAGCGATTGACATCGATCCACGCAATTGGGATACGATGACCATCCGATCCCGTTAGTCGCCTTTTACGGCAAGAGTGGGTTGGTGAAGACCTATTCTACCCCGGATCTTCTCGGGTCTCTCTTTAGGTTGACACCTGATCTATTGATCGAACATATGGCCCTGCCATAGCGACGCAAGTTTTGATTCAGGCTGAAGGTTATCGTTGTGTGGTGCTTGTTTATATATATTTCAACGCATGTTGAATACTGTAGATCACATCAGCTATAAAACTGACGGGATGACGTTCGTGCATGTCGTACGTATTGTTGAACCAAATGAGTCCGACATCATGGGATTATAAAATCACATTAAGTATATTTTTATACAGACAGGCGACTCTAGGTTTGTATTGCTATATATATGATAGCTGCGCGATAAATCACAAAGAACACAGAAGAAGGCGTGGTTTATTTCACGATAAAACATTGTTCTATCATGACGTCATTTCTGGATACTTGAACATGCGCTCGCAACGTGATCATGTCGTATATTGGGCGAGGTTATTTTAGAGAGGGAACTCTCTCGTGAGTTGTTCGCCGAAGATGTAGTGAACGAAGATAAACGCAATGATCGAACCACCGTATCCAAAAGTGTGAGATATATGACAATCGGTGTTAGGAAAACAGGCATAGATAATCGACATTAGGATTGTTGAGTGAAATACCAAACTTAACCCACCTGTTCATCAAATAGACTTGTCCGACATTGCCGAGGCAGGATGTTAATTAGGGAGTCATCATTATGAACATTTAGGTAACTATTTTTAAAGTTTGCACATTTTATGAACATCCTCAAAGACGCTCTACGTAATGTTGATATCTCAAATAAGAAATAAACGACTAGCGGCCGTTGTCGATCGTACAGAAGAAACACTGCAGGGAGAATTAATCACTCGGGGCTGCGAACCTCATTGTGTATTCTCCCTGCAGTGTTTTTTTTCTCAATGAACATACGTGACTTCTGTGTTAGATACAATCACAAAGACGATGTGTTTTCCTTTTGCATCACCAATGAAAGGAACACAGTTCTTAGCCGGAAATAAACTTACTTGTTAAATTCCTTTACTTCACGAATATGTCAGGATCAGAGAGCACCGCCAGCGTAATTTGTCCACCCTCCGACGTTCTGCGCACTACACTGTGGCACGACACACCTACTCCACTCAGTAGATAACAAGGTCCGTGTAGCCTGTCCACCCTCCGACTTTCTGCCCACTACACTGTGGCACGACACACCTGCTCCACTCAGTAGATAACAAGGTCCGTGTAGCCTGTCCACCCTCCGACTTTCTGCCCACTACACTGTGGCACGACACACCTGCTCCACTCAGTAGATAACAAGGTCCGTGTAGCCTGTCCACCCCTACAACGTTCTGCACACTACACTGTGGCACGACACACCTGCTCCACTCAGTAGATAACAAGGTCCGTGTAGCCTGTCCACCCTCCGACTTTCTGCCCACTACACTGTGGCACGACACACCTGCTCCACTCAGTAGATAACAAGGTCCGTGTAGCCTGTCCACCCCTACAACGTTCTGCACACTACACTGTGGCACGACACACCTGCTCCACTCAGTAGATAACAAGGTCCGTGTAGCCTGTCCACCCTCCGACTTTCTGCCCACTACACTGTGGCACGACACACCTGCTCCACTCAGTAGATAACAAGGTCCGTGTAACCTGTCCACTCCTACAACGTTCTGCACACTGCACTGTGGCACGACACACCTGCTCCACTCAGTAGATAACAAGGTCCGTGTAGCCTGTCCACCCCTACAACGTTCTGCACACTACACTGTGGCACGACACACCTGCTCCACTCAGTAGATAACAAGGTCCGTGTAGCCTGTCCACCCTCCGACTTTCTGCCCACTACACTGTGGCACGACACACCTGCTCCACTCAGTAGATAACAAGGTCCGTGTAACCTGTCCACTCCTACAACGTTCTGCACACTGCACTGTGGCACGACACACCTGCTCCACTCAGTAGATAACAAGGTCCGTGTAGCCTGTCCACCCCTACAACGTTCTGCACACTACACTGTGGCACGACACACCTGCTCCACTCAGTAGATAACAAGGTCCGTGTAGCCTGTCCACCCTCCGACTTTCTGCCCACTACACTGTGGCACGACACACCTGCTCCACTCAGTAGATAACAAGGTCCGTGTAACCTGTCCACTCCTACAACGTATGCACACTGCACTGTGGCACGACACACCTGCTCCACTCAGTAGATAACAAGGTCCGTGTAGCCTGTCCACCCCTACAACGTTCTGCACACTACACTGTGGCACGACACACCTGCTCCACTCAGTAGATAACAAGGTCCGTGTAGCCTGTCCACCCTCCGACTTTCTGCCCACTACACTGTGGCACGACACACCTGCTCCACTCAGTAGATAACAAGGTCCGTGTAACCTGTCCACTCCTACAACGTTCTGCACACTGCACTGTGGCACGACACACCTGCTCCACTCAGTAGATAACAAGGTCAGTGTAACCTGTCCACCCCTACAACGTTCTGCACACTACACTGTGGCACGACACACCTGCTCCACTCAGTAGATAACAAGGTCCGTGTAACCTGTCCACCCCACCAACGTTCTGCACACTACACTGTGGCACGACACACCTGCTCCACTGAGTAGATAACAAGGTCAGTGTAATCTGTCCACCCTCCGACGTTCTGCACACTACCCTGTTGCACGACACACCAACTCCACTCAGTAGATAACAAGGTCAGTGTAACCTGTCCACCCTCCGACGTTCTGCACACTACACTGTGGCACGACACACCTGCTCCACTCAGTAGATGACAAGGTCAGTGTAGCCTGTCCACCCCACCAACGTACTGCGCACTGCACTGTGGCACGACACACCTGCTCCACTCAGTAGATAACAAGGTCCGTGTAGCCTGTCCACCCCACCAACGTACTGCGCACTGCACTGTGGCACGACACACCTGCTCCACTCAGTAGATAACAAGGTCAGTGTAACCTGTCCACCCCTACAACGTACTGCGCACTACACTGTGGCACGACACACCTGCTCCACTCAGTAGATAACAAGGTCAGTGTAACCTGTCCACCCCTACAACGTTCTGCACACTACACTGTGGCACGACACACCTGCTCCACTCAGAATATAACAAGGTCAGTGTAACCTGTCCACCCTCCGACGTTCTGCACACTACACTGTGGCACGACACACCTGCTCCACTCAGTAGATAACAAGGTCAGTGTAACCTGTCCACCCCTACAACGTTCTGCACACTACACTGTGGCACGACACACCTGCTCCACTCAGTAGATAACAAGGTCAGTGTAACCTGTCCACCCCTACAACGTTCTGCACACTACACTGTGGCACGACACACCTGCTCCACTCAGTAGATAACAAGGTCAGTGTAACCTGTCCACCCTCCGACGTTCTGCGCACTACACTGTGGCACGACACACCTGCTCCACTCAGTAGATAACAAGGTCAGTGTAACCTGTCCACCCCTACAACGTTCTGCACACTACACTGTGGCACGACACACCTGCTCCACTCAGTAGATAACAAGGTCAGTGTAACCTGTCCACCCTCCGACGTTCTGCGCACTACACTGTAGCAATGCACACTTCGACCCAGCAGATAACACTGACGTAAGACTTAGGTAACCTAGCAATATGCACTGATAAAAGTCCCCCTATCTGTACACTGACAAATGTTCTAGCCAGTAGATGGCAAAACACCTCATGATGTATGGCCCACTTGTCGAATGTGCTGTGTACTTTTTCGACCCTTTACAGCAACCAGTGGATTCATCCTAAGTCAAATCGCTTTGCTGTGATATGACCGAAATACTGTTCTGCAATAATGTACTGACATTCTGAAACACTCATTCACACACTTCCTCAATCACCTAAACCAACTCACCAAAACTATATTCACTGTCACTAAAACTATTTTCACTCACTCATCCAAACCATATTCACTCTCATTCAAACTATATTCACTTACTCGCTCAGTTATATTCACTCACTCATCTAAACCATATTCACTCACTCATCTAAACCATATTCACTCACTCATCAAACTATATTCACTCACTCCTTCAAACTATAGTCACTCACTCACTCAACTATACTCACTCGCTCAACCAAACTATATTCACTCACTCATCCATCTATATTCACTCACTCACTCAACTATATTCACTCACTTATTCAAACTATTTTCACTCACTCAACTATATTTACTCACTCACTCAAACTATTTTCACTCACTCAACTATAATCACTCATTCATTCAAACTTTTTTCGCTCACTCACTCACTCACTCAACTATATTCACTCGTTTATCAAAACTATATTCACTTACTCCTTCAACTCTCTTCACTCACACACCAACTCATATCAAACACACAACGCTCATACACCAGCACTTACTCAGATACATCAATCAACATACCGATATACATTCACATCTACTTTACAGATAGGTTATAACATGATATATTTACTGCGACTTCATCTATACCTATAAATGTATACACAATACATTATGTTTCTAATCACTCAAATCAGAAAAGCACTACTCCACCAGCTTCACCAAAACTAGAAATCAGCCATATAAAACATTTGAGAGCATTTCCTTCTGGTCGTATCTGATAGTGTAAGCAATCCTAAAGTTTGATGGGGTCTATGGTATCAAATGCTGCGGATAGATCCAGTAGAACAAGCAAGCCTACATTACCCCTGTCTGCTGATGTAAGGAGTTCATTTAAGACTCTATATACTGTCATTGAATATTGTATTATCCCTCTGTTTTGTACTGCCATTATAATTGCTGTACTGTAATTTGTATTGATTTAAAGATCTTGTGAAGTTTGTAATACATTTGTTTACTAGTTTTTCATACCATTTGTTGGTTGTTTATTAGTTTCACACTATATTCTTTTAAAAACAAACTTCTCGGTTAACATATTGTTTCAATGTTTTAGTCGACAGGTAACACCACGCCCGCGATGGCATAAACTTGTACAGTACAAAGGCAGGTACTACGTCAGCCGTTGTAAATATACTGAAAGATATGTCCTTCCTTGAGACGCGAAGTAGGACCTCATTTCTAAAGTATAAAATCTAAACAATGAAGTCGTCCAGCTTGACCAATCAATAGACTGGGCCAGGACGCACTTGATCATAGAGTCAATAGCATACAGTGTTCCAATTGGTTAAACTGAGAGAAAGCTTAATAATATTTCAGCACTATGGAATGGATGCTTAACATATAAAATGCTGACGTATAAAACATAATTATTCAAACTGATACTGTATTCCTTGTTAAATGTAAATATTAAAGGGTACTTATCTAATTAAGTAAATGACAACAGGGTCATACCACCTTACTCCTTATTACTAACATACTGACAAATCTTAATTATAAGTTATGTACATATTTAAAAATACTTGAGTCGTCCACAACTATATTCCATAACTCATCTAACTCACTGAGACTATATTCACTCACTTACTCAAACTATATTCACTCACTCACTGAAACTATATTCCCCAACTCCCTGAAATTATATTCACTTACTTACTTAATGTGGGTTCAGTTGTGTCAAACAAAATGCTTTTGTGAAGTCATCTGTTATATATCATCTTTACAGAGATGCTTTAGGTTGGCCGGGGGCACGGGTGGCCCAGTCGTCTAAGGCACCGCGATTCGCTGTGCAGAGTTGCGTCCCTTGGGCACGCCAGAATCCTATATGATTGTGGGTTCGAATCCCGGTTCGCCCCGATTATGTTTCTAGGTTTGTCAGCACCATACCCGTGCTCGTGGGTTTCATCAAAGTGGTAAAGGTCTGAGACCTGCATCACTTCGGGCTTTCCTCCCACATTAAGTTGACATGCCATGATATAACTGGAATACTGTTAAAAGCGGCGTTAAACCCTACTCACTCACTCACTCACTGTAGGTTGGCAAACACTGTAGGTGCAGTTTGGTAGTTTGTTTACAAGCGTGGCACCTGTGACGGCGGTGTGTCATTTTATAAAAACTAAGGGGCTGATGTGAGCGGGGAAGGTTGCGACACAAGTCTGAGTGGAGTCACCTCAGGTGTAGATCTGTGTGGTAGAAGCAAATACTCTTGTTTCATCATAATTATGACATGTACTTGCCATCTGCAAGTATATCAGCAAAAAAGATCATAGAGTTTCTGGTCACAAAAATACCTTGGTGTGATATCAGTTTGAGCCGAACCCCACGAGACGACCTCGTATCTCTTAACAATAAGACTAGGCTATAGTTTGGGATAGAAGATTAGAATATGTCTGAGTGATAGAGTGATTGATTGAGTGATTGATTGAATGAGTGAGTGAGTTGGGTTTAAGGCTGCTGTGAACAGTATTCCAGTTTTATCACGGCGTGTCAGGTGGATGGTGGAGAAAAGCCTGATGTGGCGGTGTAAATCTGGACTAGAGATAATGTCCGTTGTCTGAGGGGCAAAACAATAAACTTAGGTAATCATGAGCAACATCACTTTCCTCAGTTTGCTGCTCTTTAGAAGTTTTATGACTTTGTAGTATGTAAGGTAAGTGGAAATAATTCACCCGCAATGTATCCGAACTGCCATGTTAAGTAAGTACTTTAAGAGATGTACTGGAACATGTGTTAGAAGATTATAGTGGATTCAGGCACACGTACCTAGAACATATACCGGGTTAAAGGTTTCTGCGAGAAGAATTTAGTTTCGTCGGGATGTATGACGTTCGATTTGCCATGGGTTGGTCCATATTCACTCAATACCAATTATTGATACCTCATTGGAGAGGTATTTATATATGGATTCCAGTGGTATATCACACTTGAAGATCAGTGGATCACTAGTGAGATGACAACCCAAAACGTAATCATACCCCCAAGTGATATACGGCAAAACCGGGCGAAAACGCGATATAGGGTACCATACTTTGAAAGGCTGTAACAACAAGTTCGTCCCAACCTTTTTTCTTGTTAACATTCAAAATCATGTTTCGTATGTTTATGGGCTTTAAAAAAATTAAGTGGGGTTTGGATGTGTAGGGGGTGCTCGTGGGTCATACCTAGCCCACGGCCTATGTACTTTCAGTACTTAGCAGTTGCACCACTCGCTGATGTCCCCAGCCTCTCGCCATGACGGCCGCTGTGTCCGCCGAGTTGGTCCTGGCGTCGATGTCCACCACGTTCAGTGACAGCACAAACTCCACTGTCTCCACATTTCCTCCCAGACAGGCCCAGTGAAGGGTGTTGTAACCGAGCACGTCCACCAGTGACACATCAGCCCCTGCCTTCACCAGGAGCTCCACCACGTCTCTGCGTCCACTCCATGCTGCCCTCATCACCGGTGTCCTGCTCCCCCCTCCTCTACTGTTGATGTCCACCACGTTCAGAGACAGCACAAACTTCACCGTCTCCACGTCTCCTCCAATACAGGCGAAGTGAAGGATGTTGTAACCGTCCTCGTCCACCAGTGACACATCAGCTCCTTCCTTCACCAGGAGCTTCACCACGTCTCTGTGTCCCCTGTCTGCTGCCGCCATCACCGGTGACAGGCTCCTGAATCCCTCTCTACAGTTGACGTTGACTCCCGTTGTTGTCAGGAGCCACTTCACCTCCTCCAGGTCCCCGTCCCTGCTGGCGTAGAAGAGGTCGTAGTCTGCTTGTGATGGAGTCGCTGTAACACAAAGTAAACTCTGTACACATCCAGACATCTTTGTCATACATCTACTGTGTTCACACCTCGAAGTGTTGATGCGTGACAGGACCGTCGATACATGATGAACCACTTCCTGTGTGGATGACAACAATATTACGATGAGGGGAGTGGTTTATGTAAAGAACTAAAAACAATCTATTCACGTGACATTTGTTCAAGTGCTTTCTTCCACATCCAGTAGTTGTAACATTATTCTGTGTACGGCTGGGGTGTTGTACTGAGCTTTATAAGATGATAGTCAGACACGGTCAGTGCAATTGCTGTTTGAAATTATTCAGATAATATGATATCTATTATGACATTGCTTTATATCAGCTTGTTCATTGAATACATTGTATGTATGAAGGTTAGGAGTTAGCTTTTTGCCTGCTGGGTTCTCCCACCTACCGCCTGAAGCAGTGGAGAGCCGTGGATACTTCCTGCGCCGGCTCGGTTCACTGGAGGCTGAAACACAGAATATGTTGTTTAGAAAACTATATATAGCACGTAAGTATTTTTTATATTGGTCACGGACAATTTATTCATATTCGACCAGTTTGATGGCTTGTGAAACGTTTACTACAGAACTAGATTTAAAATACGTTTGTAAAAGCAGAAGGGAAAGTATAGTAGTTTTGTGATTGTCAAATAAATTAAATGACTCTCATAAAAATACAACACAAGTATAGATTGTTGTTCACCTAACCCGTGTGTCTATACACCTGCTTGTTGGATTGAGATTTATGATGGAAGTTGACATGTTTGAAATTAATAGTATAATAAGAGAATGCATGCATCAACCTTTAGAGACTGTTTATAGGACATTTGCGGAACAGAGTCTAAGCTATCTAGCTGATATCATGATCTGACCAAATATCCTACAAAGTTGGACAATGACACTGTCTACCACATGCTTGGTTGCCCCACCTACCGTGTAGATGAGACTCTTGTGTCGTCACTTGGACCAGTGGCATTCTCTCTCCCCATCGCAGATCCTGACTCGGATCACTTGAGGCTGAAACAGAATATAGTGGTCAGAAAACTATATATAGCATATGATAAACATTAAAACACGTGGCCTCAGATAATTTATTGTCATTCAACAATTTTTTTGCCTATCACAATGTTCACTCATGAATATGCTTCAAACACGTTGTAGAAGAGGCATACATATCAGGTAGCTCAGTGATTGGTAAATCGCTATAAATGACATAATACACTGTAACACGGAGATTTATAAGTATGGATCTGCTCTGAAGCTGATATTCGGCAGCAAATGTCAGTAAACATTCCCAAATCGGAATAAAAACTTTCCCAACTCATGTAAATCTAACTAATTGTATGGCTTTATAGTGGTAACCTGTATTTCACTGATAACATGACCAATAAATAGGAAGAGTTTGAATGCTTAGTTTTATATTATTACACTGATGCTACAAAACTCTTGAAGAAACTAAGAACTTAAAAGTATCCCAATTTTTAACCAAATAACGATTTGTTCCAAAATCAGTCCTAGTTTACAATCCTGGAAAAATCCCCCGTACAACACACACCTAGATAGTTGCTCATCTACCCCATGTGTCTTTATACATCATAACATGAAACAATTCTTGAATCCTATTTCTTATGTTGGAATCTAAGTGTTTTACTGTACACTGTCTGTATGCGAACTTTCTGAGATACAATGCCTCTCTTTGATAAAAATATTACAGTAAATAGATATTTGTCATTTTGGAACCTTAACACAGAACATACATGAACATTATCTTTACTACACTGAAAGCAAAATCTCATAATGTCTGCATATGAGTAATATATGAAAAGTAAACGTTCATAAATACAGGTGAATTAATTTGCTACATATTTGTTTGTTATTTTCATTACCGCGTCTGTGTATTTAAATAATAGATCTAATCATGTACTTGTTGTCTGTGAGAATCAATGCACACCGTTATTTTCCATTACCAGAAGGATATGGCACCCAGTGTGGCAGGCCCTACCAGTGTTGTACCAAACACATATTCAGTTCATTCAACATCTGTATTAATCACACGTCAAATGACATTGTACACAAATTGACAACTGTCTAGGTGGTTTCTTTATTCAGCGCTGGAAATCGGCACTAGTCTTGTAGGCCTTGCCCAACTGCCCAGTAGTTAAGGTATCATAATGACTAGCACAATTCGCTGATTTTAAGGGAATACATAAATACTGTAAACACTAAAACATCAAGGATAGACGCGAGGAACATGTCCTCAAGTTGATGCGTTTTTTCGTTGGAGCATAATGTCTGCATAAGTGAGTCTGAAGCAAATACATGTGAGGGTCTTTAGCAAATAGACAAACCTACATGGAACACACTGCCCCCCCCCCCCCCCCCCCCCCCCCGAACCCCCCCAACCCCCAACCCACCACACACACAAACTGAAACTAGCTCTTAATTTGTAAAAAAAATTCCAACTATTCTCGTCTTGAAGTTTCTGCTTTGTGACGATATGTCTGTGAGAAAAATGCCTTAGTTACAATACACAGTAATCCTTCATTATTAATGCAGTTTAGAGACTACAGTCTTACCATCCACACAGTTGTCTCCATAATTAATGGGCGTTGAGTCATATACTGTAAGTCTTACTACAGTCTTACCATCTACACAGTCGCTTCAAAACTTAATGCAGTGTTGAGTAATACACTGTAAATCTTACTACAGTCTTACCATCCACACAGCCACCTCCATAATTAATGCAGTTTGGAGTGACACACTCCAAGTCTTACTTCAGTCTTACCATCCACACGATCGCCTCGGTAATTTATGCGTGTGGTGTGATATACTGTAATTCTTACTATAATCTTATGATCCACACAATCGCCTCCATAATTAATAGGTGTGGACTGATATACTGTTAGTCTTACTACAGTCACACCATCCACCCAGCCGCCTCCATAATTAATGCAGTGTGGAGTGATATACTGCAAGTCTTACTGCAGTCTCACCATCCACACAGTCGCCTCCATAATAACTGCAGTGTGGAATGATATACTGTAAGTGTTACTACAGTCTTACTATCCACAGAATCGCCTCCATAATCAATGGGTGTGGAGTGAGATACTGTAACTATATCTACACCCTTACCATCCACAAAGTTACCTCCGTAATTACTGCAGTGTGGAATGAGACATTGTAAGTCCCACTACAGTCTCACCATCCACACAGTCACCTTCATAATTACTGCAGTGTGGAGTGATATACTGTAAGTCTTACTACAGTCTTACCATCCATCCAGCCGCCTCCATTATTAATGCAGTGTGGAGTAAGATACTGTAAGTCTTACTACAGTCTTACCATCCACACAGTCGCCTCCATAAATACTGCAGTGTGGAGTGATAAACTGTAAGTCTTACTACAGTCTTACCATCCAGACAGTCGCCTCCATAATAATTGCAGTGTGGAGTGAAATACTGTAAGTCTTACTATAGTCTTACCATCCAGACAGTCGCCTCCATAAATACTGCAGTGTGGAGTGAGAAACTGTAAATCTAACTACAGTCTTACCATCCACACAACCGCCTCCATTATTAATGCAGTGTGGAGTGAGATACTGTAAGTCTAAGTACAGTCTGAACATCCATCTAGCAGCCTCCATAATTAATGCAGTGTGGAGTGATATACTGTATGTCCCGCTGCAGTCTGACCATCCACACAGTCGCCTCCATAATTAGTGGGTGTTCAGTTATCTACTGTAAGTCTTACTACCCTCTTTCCATCCACACAATCGCCTTGTTAATATTTTTTTAATCGGTGTGGAGTGATATACTGTAAGTCTTACTACAGTCTTACCATCCACACAGCCGCCTCCATAATTACTGCACTCTGGAATGATATACTGTAAGTCTTACTACAGTCTTGTCATCCAGACAGTCGCCTTCATTATAAATGCAGTGTGGAGTGATATACTGTAAGCCTTACTATAGTCTTAACATCCATCTAGCCGCCTCCATAATTAATGCAGTGTGGAGTGAGATACTGTATGTCCCACTGCAGTCTGACCATCCAGACAGTCGCCTCCATAATTCGTGGGTGTGGAGTGATATACTGTAAGTCTTACTACAGTCTTGCCATACACAAAGCCGTCTCCATAATTAATGCAGTGTGGAGTGATATATTGCAAGTCTTAATACTGTCTTACCATCCACAGTCGCCTACATAATTAATGCATTGTGGAGTGAGATACTGTAAGTCTTACTACAGTCTTATCATCGACACAATCGCCTCCATAATTAATGGGTGTGGATTTATGTACTGTAGTTCTTACTACAGTCTTACCATCCACCCAGCCGTCTCGATAATCAATGCAGTGTGAAATGATACACTACTAGTCTTACTACAGTCTTACCACCCACCCAGCCGTCTCCATAATTAATGCAGTGTGCAGTGATATACTGTAAGTCTTACAACAGTCTTACCATCCATCCAGTCGCCTCCATAATTAATTGGTGTTGAGTGATATAATGTAAGTCTAACTACAGTCTTACTATCCATCCTGTCGGCTCCATAATTTATAGTTTTGGAGTGATATACAGTAAGTCTTACTACAGTCTTACTATCAACACAATCGCCTCCATAATCAGTGGGTGTGGAGGGATGCGCCGTAAGTCTTACTACACTCTTACTATCCAAACAGTCACCTCCATATTAATGGTTGTAGAGTGATATACTGTAAATCTTACTACGGTCTTACTATCCACACAGTCGCCTCCCTAATTAATGGGTGTGGACTGTTATCCTGTAAGTCTTACTACAGTGTTACCATCCACACAATAGCCTCCATACCTAATGGGTGTGGAGTGATATACTGGAATTCTTACTACAGTCTTACCATCCACCAAGCAGTCTCGATAATTAATGCAGTGTGGAGTGATACACTCCTAGTCTTACTACAGTCTTAACATCCACCCAGCGTCTCTATAATTAATGCAGAGTGGAGTGTTATACTGTAAGTCTTACTACAGTCTTACCATTCATCCAGCCGCCTCCATAATTAATTGGTTTTAAGGGATATACTGTAAGCCTTTCTACAGTCTTACTATCCGCACAATCGCCTCCTTATTTAATGAGTGTGGAGCGATATACTGTTAGTCTAACTATAGTCTTACCATCCAGACAGTCGCCTCCATAATTACTGCAGTGTAGAGTGAGATACTGTAAGTCTTACTACAGTCTGACCATCCACACAGCCGCCTTCATAATTACTTTAGTGTGGAGTGATATACTGTAAGTGGTACTACAGTCTTTCCATCCAGACAGTCGCCTCCATAATTACTGCAGTGTTGAGTGATATACTGTACGTTGTACTAAAGTCTTTCCATCCAGACAGTCGCCTCCATAAATACTGCAGTGTGGAGTGAGATACTGTAAGTCTAACTACAGTCTTACTATCCACAGAATCGCCTCCATAATGGGTGTGGAGTGAGATACTGTAAGTATATCTACATCCTAACCATCCACAAAGGTATCCTCCGTAATTACTGCAGTGTGGAATGAGACTTTGTAAGTCCCACTACAGTCAAACAATCCATCCAGCCGCCTCCATAATTACTGCAGTGTGGAGTGAGATAGTGTAAGCCTTACTACACTCTTTCCATCCACACAATCGTCTCCATAATTTATAGGTTTGGAATGATATACTGTAAGTCTAACTACAGTCTTACCATCAACACAGCCGCCTCCATTATTAATGCAGTGTGGAGTGAGACATGGTAAGTCTAACTACAGTCTAACTATCCAACAATCGCCTCCAAAATCAATGAGTGTGGAATGATGTACTGTAAGTCTTACTACAGTCTTACCATCCACAAAGTCGCCTCTATAATTAATGCAATGTGGAGTGAGATACCGTTAGTCTTACTACAGTCTTACCATCCATCCAGCCGCCTCCATAATCAATGGGTGTGGAGTGAGTTACTCTAAGTCTATCTACACTCTTACCGTCCACAAAGTTACCTCCGTAATTAATGAAG